TGGGATTGCTGGGTCAAATGGAATTTCTATTTCTATGTCCTTGAGGAATTGCCACACTGTCTTTCTTAATGGTTGAACTAATTTACACTCCCACCAACTGTGTAAAAGTGTTCATTTTTCTTCATATCCTCTCCAGCATCTGTTGTCTCCAGATTTTTTAATGATCGCCATTCTAACCTGCATGACATGGTATCTGAATGTGGTTTTGATTTCCATTTCTCTAATGACCAGTGATGATGAGCATTTTTTCATATGTTTGTTGGCTGCATATGTGTCTTCTTTTGAAAAGTGTCTGTTCATATCCTTTGCCACTTTTGAATGGGTTTGTTTGTTTTCTTGTAAATCTGCTTCAGTTCTTTGTAGATTCTGGATATTAGCCCCTTATCAGATGGGTAGCTTGTAAAAATTTTTTCCCATTTTGTTGGTTGCTGGTTCACTCTAATGATTGTTTCTTTTGCTGTGCAGAAGCTCTTAAGTTTAATTAAATCCCATTTGTCTATTTTAGCTTTTGTTGCCATTGCTTTTGGTGTTTTAGTCATGAAGTCCTTGCCTGTGCCTATGTCCTGGATGGTGTAGCCTGTGTTTTCTTCTAGGGTTTTTACAGTATTGGTTCTTATGTTTAAATCTCTAATCCATCTGAACTTAATTTTTGTACAAGGTGTAAGGAAGGGGTCTAGATTCAGCTTCCTGCATGTGGCTAGCCAGTTTTCCCAACACTATTTATTAAACAGGGAATCCTTTCCCCATTGCTTTTGTCAGGTTTGTCAAAGATCAGGTGGTTGTAGATGTGTGGCATTGTTTCTGAGGCCTCTGTTCTGTTCCATTGGTTTTTATCTCTGTTTTGGTATGAGTACCATGCTGTTTGATTGCTGTAGCCTTGTAGTATAGTTTGAAGTCAGATAGCATGATGCCTCCAGCTTTGTTCTTTTTGCTTAGGATTGTCTTGGCTATGCAGGCTCTCTTTTGGTTCCACGTGAAGTTTAAGGTGGTTTTTTCCAGTTCTGTGAAGAAGGTCAATGGTAGCTTCATGGGGATAGCATTGAATCTATACATTACTTTGGACAGTATGGCCATTTTCACTATATTGATTCTTCCTAACCATGAGCATGGAATGTTTTTCCATCTGTTTGTGTTCTCTCTTATTTCCTTGAGCAGTGGTTTGTAGTTCTCCTCGAAGAGATCTTTGACATCCTTTGTTAGTTGTATTCCTAGGTATTTTATTCTCTTTGTAGCAACTTTAAATGGGAGTTTGCTCATGATTTGGCTCTCTGTTTGTCTGTTGTTGGTGTATAGGAATTTGTGATTTCTGAACATTGTGATTTCTGAACATTGATTTTGTATCCTGAGACTTTGCCAAAGTTGCTTATCAGCTTAAGGAGGTTTCGGGCTGAGACGATGGGGTCTTCAAAATATATGATCATGTCGCCTGCAAATAGGGACAATTTGACTTCTTCTTTTCCTAAGTGAATGCCCTTTATTTCTTTTTCTTGCCTAATTACTCTGGCAAGAACTTCGAACACTATATTGAATAGGAGTGGTGAGAGAGTACATCCTTGTCTAGTGCCAGTTTTTAAAGGGAATGCTTCTAGTTTTTACCTGTTTAGTATGTGGGTTTGTCATAAATAGCTTTTATTATTTTGAGATACATTTGATCGATATCTAGTTTATTGAGAGTTTTTAACATAAATGGCTGTTGAATATTTTTGAAGGCCTTCTCTGCATCTATTAAGATCATCATGTGGTTTTTATCTTTGGTTCTGTTTATGTGGTGGATTACGTTTACAGATTTGCATAAGTTGAACCAGCCTTGCATCCCCAGGATGAAGCCTACTTGATGATGGTGGATAAGCTTTTTGATGTGCTGTTGGATTCGGTTTGCCAGGATTTTATTGAGGATTTTTGCATCAATATTCATCATGGATATTGGCCTGTAGTTTTCTTTTTTAGTTGTATCTCTGCCAGGTTTTGGTATCAGGATGCTATTGGTCTCATAGAAAGAGTTAGGGAGGATGCCTTCTTTTTGTATTGTTTTGGATAGTTTCAACAAGAATGGTACCAGCTTCTCTTTGTACATCTGGTAGAATTTGGCTATGAACCCGTCTGGATGTGGACTTTTTTGGTTGGTAGGCTAATTGCTGACTCGACTTCAGACCTTGTTATTGGTCTATTCAGGGTTTCTACTTCTTCCAGGCTTAGTCTTGGGAGGGTGCAAGTGTCCAGGAATTTATCCATTTCTTCCAGATTTACTGGTTTCTGTGCATAGAGCTGTTTGTAGTAATCTCTGATGGTAGTTTGTATTTCCGAGGAATTGGTGCTGATCTCCCTTTTATCATTTTTTATTGCATCTATTTGATTCTTTTTTTCGTTTTTATTAGTCTAGCTAGCAGTCTATTTTGTTGATCTTTTCAAAAAACCAGCTCCTGGATTTATTGATTTTTTGGAGGGTTGTCTATCTCCTTCAGTTCTGCTCTGATCTTAGTTATTTCTTATCTTCTGCTAGCTTTTGAGTTTTTTTTTTTTTTATCTTGCTCCTTTAGGTCTTTCAATTTTGATGATAGGGTGTCCATTTTAGATCTTCCCTTGCTTCTCATGTGGGCATTTATTGCTGTAAATTTTCCTCTAGCCACTGCTTTAAATGTGTCCCATAGATTCTGGTATGTTGTGTTTTCATTCTCATTGGTTTTGAGGAAGATTTTTATTTCTGCCTTCACTTCATTGTTTATCCATTCGTTATTCAGGAGCAAGCTGCTTGGTTTCCATGTGACTGTGCGGTTTTGAGTGCTTTTCTTAATCCTGAGTTCTAATCTGATTGCACTGTGGTCTGAGAGACCATTATGATTTCTGTTCTTTTGCATTTGCTGAGGAGTGATTTACTTGCAATTATGTGGTCTGTTTTAGAGTAAGTGTAATGTAGTGCTGAGAAGAATGTGTATTCTGTGGATTTGGGGTGGAGTGTTCTGTAAACGTCTATTAGGTCTGCTTGATCCAGAGCTGCGTTCAAATCCTGGATATCCTTGTTGACTTTCTGTCTCACTGATCTGTCCAGCATTGTCAGTGAAGTGTTAAAGTCTCCCACTATTATTGTGCAGGAGTCTAAGTCTCTTTGTAGGTCATTAAGAACTTGCTTTATGTATCTTGGTGCTTCTGCATTGGATGCATATATATTTAGGATCGTTAGCTCTTCTTGTTGCATTGATCCTTTTACCATTATGTAATGCCCTTCTTTGTCTCTTTAGATCTTTGTTGGTTTAAAGTCTGTTTTATGAGAGACTAGGTTTGCTACCCCGATTTTTTATTTTGCTCTCCGTTTGCTTGGTAGATCTTCCATCCCTTTATTTTGAGTCTATGTGAGTCTTTGCATGTGAGATGGGTCTCCTGAATACAGCACACCATTGGGTTTTAACTTTTTATCCAGTTTGCCAGTCTGTGTCTTTTAATTCGGGCATTTAACCCATTTACATTCAAGGTTAATATTGTTATGTTTGAATTTGATCCTGCCATTTTGTTACTGGCTGGTTCTTTTGCCCGTTAGTTGACATGGTTTCCTCGTTGCACTATTGTTCTTTACGATTTGGTATGTTTTTGCAGTGGCTGGTATTAGTTGTTCCTTTCCATTTTCAGTACTTCCTTCAGGAGTTCTTGTAAGGCACATCTTGTAGCAATGAAATCTCTCAGCAATTGCTTGTCCATAAAGGATTTTGTTTCTCCTTCATTTATGAAGCCTGGTTTGGCTGGATATGAAATTCTGGGTTGAAAGTTCTCTTCTTTAAGGATGTTGAATATTGGCCCCCACTCCCTTCTAGCTTGTAGAGTTTCTGCCGAGAGATCCACTGTGAGTCTGATGGTCTTTCCTTTGTGGGTGACTCGACCTTTCTCTCTGGCTGTCCTTAGGGTTTTTTCCTTCATTTCAACCCTGGTGAATCTGATGATTATGTGCCTTGGGGTTGCTCTGCTTGATGAATATCTTTGTGGTGTTCTCCGTGTTTCCTGGATGTTAATGTTGGCCTGCCTTGTTAGGTTGGGGAAGTTCTCTTGGATAACATCCTGAATACAGTTTTCCAACTTGGATTCATTCTCCCCATCACATTCAGGTATGCTGATCAAGTGTCGATTAGGTCTTTTCACGTAATTCCATAGTTCTTGGAGGCTTTGTTCATTTCTTTTCAATCTTTTTTCTCCAATCTTGCCTTCTCATTTTATTTCATTAATTTCATATTCTATCTCTGATATACTTTCTTCTACTTGATGGATTCGGCTGTTGAAACTTGTGCATGCCTCATAAAATTCTTCTGCTGTGTTTTTCAGCTCCATCAAGTTGTTTATGTTCTTCTCTAAGCCGGTTATTCTAGTTAGCATTTCGTCTAACCTTCTTTCAAGGTTCTTAGTTTCTTTGCATTGGGTTAGAACATGGTCTTTTAATTCAGAGAAGTTTGTTATTGTCCACCTTCTGAAACCTGCTTCTGTCAATTCATCAAACTCATTTTCTGTCTTACTTTGTTCCCTTGATGGTGAGGAGTTGTGATCCCTGGGAGGGGAAGAGGTGTCCTGGTCTTTGATGGTTTCACCCTTTTTGTGCTGGGTTTTCCCCATCTTCGTGGACTTATCTCCCTTTTATCTTTGAAGTGGTGATTTCTGGAGAAATCTCTGAGTGGACATCCTTTCTGTTGTGGTTGGAGTGATATCTTTTTTGGCCTGTAGCGGCACTGCTGGGTTGCCTCAGATTCAGTCAGATTGCTAAGTGGGTGGTTTTCCCCTGGGGTTTGTTTGCAGGTGAAATTAGCTTCACCTTCCCAATGGCATCTCTCCTTCCCTGAGCTCAATATTCCTGGTCGGGGTCAAACTGGTGTATTAGCTGCCAAGCTCTCTGGCACGCAGGATTCAGTTTCAGTTTTGTGGAGGGTGGGGCCTGCCAGGCCTTATGACCTGTTTTCCTGCTTTCATCTCTGCCTCTTTCTGTGGGATGGGCTGTTCCATCTCACTAGCATTAGTCCAAACTTCCACCCAGGTCCCGCCACCAGGTGGGAGCCCTCGCTCAGATTTGCATCAACAACCCACAGCACCCCTCAGTCTGGCAGGGCTCTCATGGACTGTGGGTTGCAGGAGGGATGAGGTAAGCACAGGATCCGAATCGCAGCACTGAGCAGGTGAAGTCCCCTGACCCCCTGAGCTGGCTGCACATTCCAGGTGGGGACGTGCCCCACCCTGTCTTGGTTCATTCTCCCTGGGCAGCTCTTGCCCTGCTTTGACTCCTTCCCTGGGCTCTTTTCAGAGTCCCTCCAGTCCCCTTTAAATGAACCCAGCACCTCATTTGGAATGGTAAAGTCCTCTGGCCCTCTGCGTCTCATTTGCTGGGAGCTGCATCCCAGTGTTGCCTCCTCTCGGCCATCTTGGCACCGCCTATCAAGCTCAAAAATAATTCTTACAAGTAAACTCTCTTTATAATCAGCATCCAATACACTAAAGAATAATGAAAATATTAATGTGCTGATTAATGATGGATTCTAATCAATCCTGGACAATAAAACTAGGCATGGAATATAAAATGCAATGAACATCCAAAGTACATGATGATTGGTCTGTGTGAGATCCTGTCCACAGATTATATATTTATTGTTGATTATTACATTTCCTGGAATGTGTATGTCAGTCTATTAAAAAATCTGTCAGGAAAATACATTATTTCAGAGACTGTATGATGTTAATGACAACCTTAGAATAATAAGACCAATACCAGTGACTTCTGTATGTATTCTCACAACAACCAATCACTTCCTATTCCTATGATATGTGGTTCCAAAGATGAGAATTTGATGCTTTCACCTGACAGGAGCTGTTTCCTACATCAGATCTTAAGACACAACAAAAATCAATCTGACCACAGGATATCTACTGTTAGACAACTTATTTCTCTTTATTCTAGATTGGAAGTGTCCATGAAAATAGAAGCTGCTTCCCAGAGGCGATATTAAGACCATTCACATAATTTTTTCTCATCCTTCAAAGAATTAACATGTGCCAGGTTGAACTTTAGTCACAAGCCCCAGTATTTTAAGAAATATCATCATTTACTACTTGGAGAGATGAATGAGGTTACGTAGTCATAACAGGTAAATTATTATTCATCAAATATCCGCATTCTCATTTATAAAGGACTATTCTGAAGAAGTATATCACTTTCAGGGGAGCATTTTTCAACTCCCTGAATAGCCACACCAGCCCCCTATCCCTCTGGAGTCCTTCCTTTCATGGGGTGATGAAGACTTTAACAGACTTTAACAGCTGTGAGATATTTTGAAAACTAGATAAGAATATTTGAGAGATAATTCTGATTTAAAATACATGTTTAGACCTTGATCACTAATTAAACTAAATTCTGGTTGTTTTGTATTAGAATACAAGCATTCTTCCTTTCTTCTGGGTGAGGTAAGTACTTACTCAAGAGTTAAATTTTACCTGCAATCCCGGCACTTCAAGAGGTCGAGAAAGGAGGATCACTTGTGGTCAGGAGTTTGACACCATCCTGGCCAAAATGGACTCTACTAAAAATACACGAATTAGCTGGGCATGATAAAAATACACAAATTAAAATACACAAATTAGCAGGCACCTATGGTCCCCGCTATTTGCGAGACTGAGGCAAGAGAATAGCTTGAACCCAGGAGGCAGAGGCTGTAGTGAGTCAAGGTCACGCCACTGCACTCCAGCCTGGGCGACAGAGTGAGACTCTATCTAAAAAAAAAAAAGAGTTAAATTTTAAAGCTGGTTACAACAAAACAAAGAAATCAGATCCTTATCTGACTGCCTACCTGGAAGCTGATGGAAACGTCAAGGAAGAGTACTATCAGGTGAAAGGTTGATTTCTCTCTGCAGCCTTTTATTTAATCAGTCTCTTATTTCAAACAGAGTGTGCCAAGAATGCCATAGGTTCTCAGGAAACATGGCTTAATGGCAGTGATGATGGCACTCAGAGATGCTAACATCCTCATCATTTTAGACTAAGTAGGTAAGTTGGAATGCCACTCTCTTAGTAACGAGGGTGAGAGGCTCAGAAGAAGTTTTTGTTGGTGTTTCTACAATTCTCAGCCATTTTGGGATACAAGATGAGTCTCACTGGCAGGTGTTAGATTATTAGGAAAATTAAGCAGATGGCACTGGCAAGCTCTGCCTCCCCTTTCCTCAGCTGCCAGGAATTCTTGCCCTCAGGCTTAGCTTCACATATGCTTGTTTAAAAGCTCTTGCCATTTCAAGGTAACACAATCTGTGTCATCATTCAAGCATGCCCATGACTATGAACAAATAGCATTATCCACATTTTCCCAGAGTGTTAGGGAAAAACCGTTCTGTTTTTTGTGTGTCGCCCATAACCTGCCACAGTGCATTCCACCGAAGCAGCTCATGTTACTGACTCAGAGGAGGAAAGCGAGTGTATCTCAGCAGTTGTTTGCAATGTTCAGTGTACCGTAATATGGATCTGAGGACCTACGTCATCACACGATCAAGAGCAGCCAAGCCTCCAGTCTGTACACAATGAAATCATAGAAAATAGCATTTTCAAGAATGGTGTTTCATATTGTCTCAGCCAGTCGACTTTGGTAACATTATGTTTGTTTTTTTAATTGTAGGTTCATTTATCAGCCAGTCTTAAGAGACCGCTCAAATATGACTGAGGATCTCATACAGATGCCTAATTAAGTCTATTAACATAACGAAGCCATGAAATGTTATGAATTAAAAGTGCTCTAAACACTGAAATCATCCTAACAAAAATAAACAAAATAACCTGTGACTATATGTGTCAATTATATATTTGTATATGCAGATATACATAATTAAAATACAATTCTAAATCTGTTACAGTAAGCAAAATGTAAAAGATCTACCGAACATTTACCAGGAGCTGAGCGTTGTGAAATGCATTGGGGCTGCAATAAGAAACAAGACAGACACAGTCCCTGCTCTCAATGACCTTAAAAATAAAGAAAAAGAAAAGTGGATGACAATGAAAAACTACAGAAAGAAGAAACCTAACTGATGCAGGACGGGCACGCCCCCAAATTGGGGTTTAGCCTGTCAAGGTTCTTGATTCTGCCCAGGAGAGAATTAAAAGCTGGTGGTATTAGACAGCAACATTGAATGAGCCAGAGCTGCTCACTGCAAACCAGGGCTAATGCTTACGCAGTGCACCCAGAGCTGGAAGCATATGGGCTGTTGGCAGCTGTATTGATGCCCACTTTTAATTATATGCAAGTTAAGGGGTGGGTTATTCAGAAATCTCTTTAAAAAAGCGGGGGAGGTAGTAACCTAGGGGCTGTTGCCATGAATAAGGAGTGGGAACAGGTTGTTGCCATGGCATTTGTAAACTGTCACGGTGATGGTGGGAGTGTCTTATACTAGCGGGCAGTGAGGGTAACTAGAGGTTGCCTTTAATGCTACCTATTGCTTCTGGCCAGTTTCTTCACTCCATCCTGTCTGGCCTAGGAAATAAATCCTGCCTGTCTCCTACCTTACAACCTCTATCTAGAAGAGTAGAGGTACTGGTGCAATGTTTTCTGATAGCTGGAGGGTGGTAGCCGTTTACCAGGAAAAGCACACAAGTGATGGGAGAACTGGTAAAAACTCAAACTTGAAAATCAAGATATATTTGAGGATATGGAATTAGTTTGACGTGGCTGAGATGTCACAAGTGAGGAGAGGGGGGCCACAGAGGTGACCGGTTCATATCCTGAAGGACCCTAAAACTTGAGTAGACACTGAGCCCATCCATAAGCCACTGAGGGTTTTTAAGCAGGGGAGAAATGTGGTTCAATTTGCATTTCAAGAATAGCACTTGGATTACCATATGGGGAATGGACTGGATGAAAGCAGGTACAGAAGAGACTGCAATAGTTAAGGCCAAAAGTGAATGAACAAAAACCAGGGTAATGGAAATGGGGATGGAGAGAATTGAGATTTTATTTTAGAAAAAATTTCACGATATTCCTCTGCCCAAATAGTTTATGGGAGTTACCAGCTGCATTTATCCATTTGTCCATTTGTCTGCTCTATTCTTTACCTATTTGCTAGTACAGTTGCTCATGTAATGATGAAAAAGAAGAAAAGGCAAAGATAACATGCAAACTGGGTAACTAGCCTTTTGTTAGCCCCCCAACACACACCTGTAGGTATCGTGAAATATGATTATGCATAGTGATAAAGAGTAGTGATCCTATCATTATGAACAAAATTAGTAGAGCCCCTATGAGTTGTTTTCACAGTATATTAAATTATATGTGTAGGTCTGCTCATCTGAATGCCTGGTTTGGATTTAATTGTAAACTGGATTAGAAGTCATCTAATGACATGTAGGAAAAAATAATTGAAGGTAAGAAATTAAGAAACTTCATTTAAGCTCTGCCTTTTACACTGTTAAAGATTTACTGCTTTTAACTATTGGTAAGGTTATAGATCTGCTGATTATGTTTTTGTATCTTCGTAAGGTAAGTGCATGCTCATTCACCTTTCCAGCTCATCAACTGGGCTTCAAACAAGTGGTCATCTTTCAGGTCATCCATGAGGCCAACCTGCACCATGTCCTCTCTTACAGTGTGAAAACTCAACCAGTGACAAAGAAACTACAGAACTTTTTGTTAGTATTTAAAGGAGCCTCTAAGACATTACTTTTTATTTCTAGCATTAAAAAAAAAGACATAGATGCATAGGAGCATGTTGTGGTTCATGGGTTGGATGTCTATTTGCCAGCTTGGATTTATGATTTGGAAAACAAGTGAATCTCTGATTAAGCCAACCTCTCACACACACATACATACACACAAACACACACACAATCTACCTACCTTTAATGGAAGTGACAAAGTGATCTCTTATTTAATATTTCTGAACACCTAATGTATATATAAACCAAGCAATGTTTTAAAACTTAACAGTGAGTGAGGTAGAAATATGTTGGCTTTCATATTTCCATGTAAGGAACAGGTAACATCAAGACAACGTGTGCAAAGCAAAGGATTAAATCACACTGATGTCACTGAGGGGCCACTTCAGAGTGGGAATGAGATTTATCTGAAGAGATCATTTCTGAGATACAAACAGTGTCTAGCTTACTTCTCACCTGTACTAACAGTTGAATTTAGCCTAGAGTAAAACACACAGCCATGATGACAAGTCTCATTTGAAATTCATGATCGGGGACCTCTCGAGGACACTTGACACTGCTGACAGTCATACTGCATTTTTCTAGTCCATTGTATACCTACGTTTTTTTGAGACAGAGCCTTGCTCTATCACTCAGGCTGCAGTGCATTGGTGCAATCTCAACTCACTGCAACGTCTGCCTCCTGGGTTCAAGTGATTCTCGTGCCTCCGCCTCCTGAGTAGCTGTGATTACAGGTGTGCACCACCACATACAGCTAATTTTTGTGTTTTTAGTAGAGACGGGGTTTTGCCATGTTGCCTAAGCTAGTCTCGAACTGCTGGTCTCAAGAGATCTGCCTGCCTCAGCCCCCCAGTATGATGGGATTACAGGTATGAGTCACCATGCTGGTCATCTACTATTTCTGCAAAGCTCCAGTATCTCCTTTCTTACCCTCTGTTAAGGCACCTGCCTCCTATTTCTCTGGGGGAAAACAAGAATAGAAGCAATGAGAGAAATGTTTTCTAAGCTCCCAACAACCAGTCCTACCCATTTTTGCTGCCTTCTCCTGTGGATCTGGAGGAAGAACTTCCCGTGCTTCTATGTAAGGCCCCTCTTTCCACTTCTGCACTAGATGATTTGCTCTCTGACTTACCCTGAGATATGCTCTCCTGTCTCTCAGATAGTTCCTTCTCTCCTCAGTCAATTCAGTCATCCATCATTTCAGCACACCTGACTATGGAAGCTGCTCTTTCTCATACACAGCAGCCGCCAAGTCCCTGCAATGTCTACAAGACTCGCCATGATTCAGCCTCAGCACTTGCATGACCTCAGCTCCTCCTCCTTGTTCACCCTTTTTCCCCTGTACTCCAGCCATGCTGGCCTCTGCTGTTCCTTCAGCACAGCATAGCACACTTCCACTTCGGGGCCTTTGCACATCTTATTTCTTCTGCTCTGACCCATATTCCCCCAGGTATCTATAAAACTCACCCCTTAACCACTCCTGTTTTTTGTTCTCATTTTGCCTGTGAGATGTTCCCTACACCCTACATAAAACCCCCACTCTTACTCTGCCATTCACTCTCTCTCTCGCCAGCTTATTTTTCTCTGCAGCATTTGCCATTATTTGAAACCCCACTTGGTTTATTTACATAATGTATAGTCTGTGCTCCCACACTCTACTAGAATATAACTTCCATGAAGGCAGGATTTTGTATTAATGCATAGTTTCTTTTGGGGTTTTTGTTTTTTATTATTACTGCTTTATCCTCAAAACATATAACAAAATCTGGCACGTATAGGGTCTCACTAACTGTTGAATGAACTGAATGTGTGCAAGACATAGCTAGTCTTGTTAGAATCATGGGAAGGAACATTTCAGGCAGATGTAATAGCTCATAAAATATCCCAATAAAAGGGAAACGTTTAGTGTGTTTGAGGAAACCAAAAGTCATGGCTGGAGCAAACTGGGAAAAGAGAAAAGTGGTCCAAGGTTCTGCCCCTAAGTAACAAAGAGTCAGCTGACAACCATCTTTCCTCATCTCCGAGTGTTGCCTGCTGTATCCTGATGCTTTCCTCCCTCTGCTGAATGGGGCCTCCCATTTTTCATTATCGAATGAACTGCATGTTTCAGTTGCAGCACTGCTGAAACATGATACCTTCTACTACATACTACAGTACAGAATTATACTTAGGGAATCTGCTCAGGACCACAGCATGATTTGGGCCTTTGAAAAACATCTCCTCGTGGCTTTTTTTTTTTTTGTCTCTCTCTGGATCATCCCATTTTTTTGAGGATCCAGCGTTTTTTGAGGATAAGTCTTCCCACAAAACACAGCCACTCTAATTTTCTCTAGTAAGCTTTACCCTAGAGGCGTGACTGTAGGGCCTTGCATCTTTCTAACTGGAAAATAAGACTGCATTTTTCCATACAAAACTGATGATTCCTCCCAAATAGAGGGATAAGTCTAATGTATTTTGAATGCACAGGAACTTATGGTCAAGAACTATAAATGGTTTGAGATTCTCTCCTGCTTGCAATCTGACAACTTAGCTGGCCACCCCTTTATGGAAGTGGGTAGAAGGCAATAGATTCCTTGTTAGAGATAAAGGATGCTTTATTACTCAAAGCAATAGCATTACCAGAGGAAAAAATTATAGTTTTTTTTTTCTGGTTTCATAAATGCCAATTCTCAGGCAACACAAGGAGGGTCAGATGATACCTGCCTGTGAGTGTGTTGCATTATAGGAGAGGAAGCCTAAGCTTTGAGAACCCAAATTTTTTATCATTGACGGTAAGCATGTTTACCCTTTGCTCCAGAAGGGAAAAAATTCCCTTTATTATACCAGACAGCAAACATGCCTGCCCTTTGCTCTAGAGAGACAAACTATCTTCCATGGCTGCTGTCTGGAAAAAACGTCCTTTGAAAGACAATGCAAACCAAAGAAAGTCACAAGATAAGGACAAATGTGAGAATCCTGTGATGGACTATCTCCCAGCATCTACCCCTGGTTTCTCTACCATCCTGGATTCTGAAGAATTGTCCTTGAATATGCCACTCTAATAACTACTGATTATTTTGAGTATTTCCACTCTAATAACTAATTAGTAGTTATTAGAGTGGGCATATTCAAGGAATTAATCTGACAGAGGTT